ATTTTAAAAAGAAAAAGAATAAAACAGGGCCAAGGATATAGCTCAGCAGCATAAGCACCTGCCTGGCAAGTGCAAGGTCCCGAGTTCTACCCCCAGTACCACATAAAAAAATTTAAAAATTGCCCCATTAATGAAAAAGAAAAGCACTGAATAGACATCTTTCTAAAAAAGATACATTTTCATAATGAGCACATGTAAACATGTTCATTACCATGTTATTAGTAAGATACAAATCAAATCCACAATGAAAAACTACTTCATACCTACTAGAATGGGCTGGCGAGACAGCTCAGTGGTCTAAAGCACCTGCTTAGGCAAACTGAAGCAAAGCACAGGGACTGCGGTTCAATCCCTGGCACCACATACCTACTAGAATGGCTACCATCAAACAGACAATAGCAAGTGCAGTCAAGGACGTGGAGAAATTAGAATTCTCAGATGTTAAACTTGTGAGTTGATCCACCAATTCTATTAGGTATATTTCAAACAGAAATAAAAGCGTAAGCCCACACAAAAACTTGTACATGAATGTTGATACAATTATTCTTCATAATGTCCATCCAAAATAGACACAAACCAAATGCCAATCAACTGATGGATAAACAAAGTATCTTGTCTCCCTGTAATGGAATAATAGCACACTTAAAAGGGAATGATGCACTGACGGACGGTGCAATATAAATAAATGTCACCGGCTGAATAAACACCATGCTCAGTGAAAGAGGCCGGGTGTAAAAGGCAGCATGCAGGATTCTACGTGCATGACACACACACAGTGTGCAAATCCATACAAGTAGGAAGTAGATCGTGGTCACCGGGAGCCGAGATTGTAGAGTGCCGGGGGTATAAAGATTCTGGTGTAAATAAAATGTTCTGCAATTAGAGGCAGGCATTATACATTCTTGCAAATATTCTAAAAACTATGGATTATAGACTGTAAGAGGGCAAACTGTATGCTATGGGAATTATAGCTCAATAAAGCTGTAACTTAAAAAAAAAAAAATCAATCCACTAACCTAGGTGCTGACCTCTGACCTGCTGCAGCGTACATAGCCCTAGCCAGTGGGCAACTGTCACCTATAAAAATTATTTAGAGAAGAAGTAAAAGAGGGCTTCTACTCTGATTAACTTGATGCACAGCAAAGGCTGTGCTGGACTTCCCCAAGAGAATCTCTCGGGGAGAATACAGACTGTGCATTTGCATAGATTAAAGAAACAGAAAGGTCCACTCATTGGCAAGCAACTCTTAAGTGGGCTGCAGAGTCCGTGCGTCAAGGCAATTCCGAGAATCCCTGCATGCTGGGCACCAGTCGTGTAGGCGACGCTCTATGTGCTGCTCTCGGCAGCCCACACATTTCAGTGAGCACACCCTCACCATTCACCATCAGAAAACAGCTTAATTGTAAATAAAAATATAAGCTTTGGGGGCCAGAGAGATAGCTCAATGGTCTAAGCAGCTGTCTGGCAAGATTAAGGACCCAAGTTCAATCCCTGGTACTGAATGCTGTGCCAGCCACCAAAACCAGGCGTGCTATGGCACACCTGTAATCCCAGTGCTGGGGAGGCTGAGACAGGAAGATCACTATGAGTCTGAGCTGTATACTGAGACACTGTAACAAATAAATAAATTTTTAAATGTATGAGCTCTGCTTCATAAGAATATTTGGAATATTTCTCCTCAGCCCAAAGGTGACACTTCTGCAACCAAAAAGACAGTTCCAATAAATTCAACAGTCACATTAAGACGACTAGAATGAACTGTTACCTTTACACCTAAGGTCCTGCATAACTCCCAGGGAGTGTCCATGCTCCAGTTTTCCATGTGCAGTTCTGGGAAAGCCTTACTTTTAGACCAGAAGCAAGCATTAAAAAGTGCATCACATTTTGCTTATTCTTTGAAGAAAAGAGACCAAAATGTCCATTATACATCCTATGTTTATTTTTTGTGGTTCTTTTTACTGGCACCCAATGTAATTCCATTCACTGTGGGTCGCATTTAGGATTTTTCCTGTATGTTGATACCCAAAACATAGAAGACAGATAGCTCACCTTACACTCTTGTCATTAGTGAATATTTATGAATACCTGATAGCTCTTAACCTGTCAGCTGAGGCTCCTTCATCCCTAAATGGGGCTTTATTTTACGTAGTTTCCTATAGCAGCACACCATTTCTGGGGCTGCTGCACTAGGAGGCCTCTGTCAACAGTCAGCATTTCACTGGCATTAACTTGTAATAAAAGACAATGAAGCATGACTCAATTAAATCACAAAAAGACTGTCTTTAGATGATAGAGGCCCCGCAGCTTCCAGAGCCTCATGTGGGGACTGTGCTGCCTGCCATGAGGCCAGTGCTTTGCAACAGCTGCCGAGCACCTACCACAGCTGCGCTCAGGACAAGGTGGAGGAAGGGGCCACACTCCTTTCTCTTCCGGGTCTAGAGATCTTGCAACTTGCACTATGCAACAGCAATCCAGCATCAAAGATGAAGAGGAAAGTTGCTCATTGTGATGCCAATGGAAAGCAATTTGCATACAAGACACAGTTCGGGAGACTTTCCCAGCCACTCTGTTTAGGAAACAACTAAAAAACAAGATTACACAAGGAGTGGGCCTGAAAAAAAGCATTAAGCAATCACAGTATGCACTCAAAGGAGGAGGTCTGATATGTGGCTATGCCAATCAGCAGATTCCAGGGCCTGAAAGAGTCTAACAATAAAATTGTCAAGGTTCAAAAAAATGGAGTTCAGCCAATAGGTAAACGTACATGTGTATGCCTCACTGCTTTTTGTTTTTATTGAGAAATAAATAGCAATGAAACAGTTTCAAAACTGATTAATAGGACAGTTTCAATAATTAATACATTGCACATTGTTATCTTCTTAGTGGTTATCCGTAGTACAAGATGCAGACAGGATATCTTGTCCAAACACTATTAGTACAAATCTTTCTTCTCATTGAATTAAGAGAAAGTAGCTGTATATCTATCCTAACTATTCCGCATATACAGATACAAAATGGTCCTTCCTTTGTATCCCCTTTTTTTTGTTTAGTCCTGTCAGAAACGGGTATTCCACTGGCATTTAAATACTATAGGTGCGTGAATTCAGCAAAACAATCCAACACAGTCCAGCAGTCTACAATAGCAGTGGGTTATCGGCAGAAGTTGTTGACTTGAGCCTTTCACAGCTTAGCATATTAATATGGCTTTACTTTATATATCTCGTTTTCATACTTTTCTGCTGGATGGTTAAGACCAAGATAAAGCAAGACCTATATGACAAGAAATGTAACTTTTGTATCTGATAAAGTCAGTTAAGTACCCTCAGGATTTAACCTGAGACCCTGTACCACAGTTTGTAGATCCTTTGTCAGTGTCAGCCATGTGGATGAGTCACGGCCATTGCTTGGCCAATTTGCTGTCTGTGAAAGCCTGAGAAATGTTTTCTCTCCATGTGACTCTCTTTAGGCACACACTACATCATCGATCACATTGATCTGTGGCCCCATAATCTCCTTGATCAGAAAATTTGGGCTACAACTGAGTTATATGATATTACAGTATAGGTTCTCCTTATGTCCTGAGTCTTCACTGACCTTGAAAGGCGAGGGCCAAAATGTTGACTGTCCTTGCAGCCCTTCTATTTCTCTAATCTTTGGTCTGCAAACTTAGGTTGTTAACCCTCCAGAAGAGAAGCTTATTATTACCCTATAACATATGCAGTTGGGTTTAACCTCACTATCTGTCTGAATATCAAACATCTTAGGCAGAACATGGAACAGGTATTTTCCATTAAGTACTGATATGTTAAACTTTAAGTCCCTACAGAATATGGAGAAAAAAATTTAAATGAAAAATATTTAAAGAATATGAATAAACAATTACATATATTTATACAGAAATTTAGAAATCTAACCATATACAGCATTGTAGATAAGAAGATTCAGAGGCCTCTACGAACATGCTTCATTGCTTAACAAGGGGGACGAGATGTGTTCTTACACAACCAGAGGCTTATCTTTTTCTTTTATTTTCTTTTTGACTGTACTCAAAATATCTATCAGTCTAGGCTTAGATCTTCATTATTTTAGGTTTGAAAATACTGAACACAGTTCAATTAAAATTGGTCTTCTTTCTCTTACTAAAGAAAGAAGAATGGGCTGGGGAGATAGCACAGTAGAATAAGCACTTTGCCTGGTAAGCGCAAGGGCCTGAATTCAATCCCCGGTACCACCAAAAAAAAAAAAAAAAAAGTTACATTAAAGTAAGAAGCAGATCCAAATATTACACAAGAAAAAAATTAGATTTCATTGTTGAGGTAAACTATTAAAATTCTTTCACTTTGTTTGTAACAAAAAATGGATACCAAGGAAACTCGTGGTCAAAACATAAAGAAAATGTTCTGGCACATTTAAGACTTTCAAATTCCAAATAATTATTTTAAGCTATGAGTAGCATTGGTTCTTTCAAAGTTAAATTCTTTTGAAATAAAGTTATAAAAAATGGCAATAAAAATGAATCAATAAAAACAATCATTCAAAGTAGGTTTCTAAAAATTATTTGTGTGTTTATTTATTTGGTGCAGGATCTCCCTAGGAGCTCGGACCTGTAGAGATCCTCCTGTCTCAGCTTCCCAGTGCCGGCTTACAGGCGTGTGCCTGGTTTCAGTGGCTGGCTCAGCACAGGACTCGTATGGCATGTGGTACCGGTGATCGAACGTGGATCCTTGTGGGGCAGGCAGGTCTTAGACCACCGAGCTATCTCCCTGGCCAGAGTAGTTTTTTAGGATGAAGTGGAAATGTGATACCTTTTTAAAACTATAGAAATGACATTTCAATTTGAATTGCATTTGAAATAACATTAATTGAAGAATAATTTACAATGACAATAAGAGTGAGACTCAGTATGGAGAGTTAGTGTTTATTAAATAGGAAGTTAAAGAATACAAAATTGAAACCTAAAAACAAATTTGGCAATTCAAGTTAGGAAAATAAGTGGTCAGTATTTTTAAGTAGGAACAATTTTACTGTTCACTCATATTTTAAAATTAGTAATCATGTTTTCAAGAAACACTAAACATTTACTGATTGTATTCGTTTCCTATTACCATAAACTTGAGATTTAACAACACAAATTTATTCTCAGAAAGTTCTGGAACCTCAGAGAGAAGGCCCCATTGCCTTGTCTGCTTCAACTTGGAGCGCTGCCTGTGTTCCTCAGAGTCAGCCCCTTCTCCATGTTCAGAGCACAGCCCCAGAGTATGCCTCCAACATCCCCCCTCTCCTCCCTGTACTCAAGTCAATCCCTGTCTCCCTCTCTTAAGATGATACCTTTTATTACATCTTGGGTCCACACAGGCAATCCAGGAGAATGCCCGCCCTTGGGCCACAAGGGGGACACTCACGGGCTCCAGAGCCTATAAGACAATTATCGTTTGAGGTCATTCCTCAGTCTACTACACTGGTCCAGAAAAGTGTATTTTACAAATTTTTCCTAGAAGTGGCTCAATAAATCTTACTTTGATTAGCTGCACAGAGCCTATGTCATTACTTCATTTTAGTGGCAGTGACAACCGGGTGTATTTGGCAGGCCATCAGTAGATGCCGAGAGGTCTATTTCTGACAATATCTATGTGGTGTCTCAGGCCAAGCCAGCGACACTGCACAATGGAGTGAGCACTCTGATTCTTGTCAAAGACAGATACAAACCTAGCTATTCTTTCAGCCAACAGTTACATGTACATTAGAATATGTATTTTGTTATGTCCAGTCAATGGATAGGAAATCTAGATTTCAACCTAAAAGTTTTCAAAATTATTACTGACTAGTCAGGATACTCTTTTCTTTTAACTCTTTTCTGGAAGGCAGACTTGCCAAAGTAATATAGGCTTTGGGATTACACATTAGAGCTCATATGTGATCTTAGGAAGTAAAATGCTTAATATTTTAGCTTCTCAGTTATTCATCTATAAAATGGTGATTCAAATACCTTTCCCAGGTATCTGTTGTAAGAGCATCAGAGTTTTGCTATACTGGCTGGAATATAATAGTTGCTGAATAAATGTTAACAACCTTCCAACTTCTACATTAGAAAACACGTCTATAAAGCATGCAGAGTGAAACAGAATCAATGTATTATTCAGTAAGATTTATAGGATGAATTTAGATGCAACTGTAAAGTAACATGAAAACAGTTAATGATCTAATTAAACATCCCAGAGTACCTTATATTATAAATGTGACATAAAAAATAGTTCCTAAGTTTAATAAGAGTCAAGATACTTGATAAAAATGGTAACGTGATCATTCTATTATTTAAGCATCTTAAAACATAAATCATTAAGTTATTGAATTAACAATTCCTGCAATTTCCTAAATCTTTGTGCATTTATATTATGTCATTCCAAAACATTTACATTAAAAATACTGGCATCTTCACTAAATAAGTGCGACATAAGTATCAGAACAATAACTTTAAGAATTCCTTTGATAGTGATGCATGATACAAGCATTTTTCTAGATCACAGAAGTTAGCAAGAAAATCTACACACCAAGGTGTAAAGCAAAACTTCCTTTCCCCTACAAAAATATTTGAAGTAACTCTCCTGAGAAGTGTCTAGTCTGTACATCATTCTTAAGGAGTTACAGAAGCCGATAGAGCACCTGTCCCTGCCAATGCATCTCGGGTCTCAAATATGCAGCAATTGGTCACTGAGGTGCTCAGACGCAGCCCAGAGCTCTCAGATCTCCATAGGACACGTCATTAAATCTTCTCCTCCTGCTGGGTCTGACTTCTGGGGCAAGAGCCGATGGTATAAATATTACTATATTTGGTAGTGAATGCTAATGACTGCTCAGGAGGCTCATCCTTCAGTTTCTATGGCCTTTAGCATCTAGCAGCTTATGAATGTGGCATGCTTCAATTTGATTTAATCATCTTTTTGAATTTATAGTTCAGAATTTACTTGTAAAGCCTATCAGGAAGCTCAGGTACTCACATATATGGGAGACATTTACACTTATTTTTGTAGTTATCCCATTAACAGACTGTAAAATTAAGGCAAACAGACCAAAGTCTATGCAAAGCACATTTTACAACGGTGCTTATTCCTCTTAAATTAGTAGACTCTGGAAATAGATTTAACACAAACATACACACAGAAACACAGACATTAAGTTTCGTAGAGTACCACTTATTCTATAATGCCAGACTGGAAGCTCAATGATCACACATAAACCAAAAAACTACTTTTTAATTTCTGTGTGGAGAGAGTCTAATCACTGTACAGGATGACAGAAGAATGTGTAGAAATTATCCTATGATCTGTATAAAAACAATGAATGTACACTCTGTATTAGAATGAATTGAGTTTCATACTGTTCACATTATACAAGGCATATTAAAAAGAATTCTAAGGAAAGAATTGAGAGAATTTTGTTCAAAACAGAATTTTACTCCACACAAACAGCTCCACACAAAAATTATACAGGCTCAGCAGTCTAAAGTACAGTATCGTGCTACACAGTACGAATTAGAATGCTAACTCAGACAGCATAAACCATTTGGGTCATTTGACTAACAACACAAACAGTATACAGATTTCACTTTTCAAGGCCACTAAAAATTCTCAGAAGTAGGATGTATCTGAGCCACATGTCACCATAAACTAAACAGACTCCATAACATATATTGTTATTTTTAATGTATCCATAATGGGAAACCTCCATAGTGAAAAACAATATAAAATATAGATTTTGTAACAAAATGCTTCGTCAAAATCTACAGTTTACATCAGAAGTTAGTATCACTGGGGAGTGAAATGATTAAAACAAAAACTAATATATATTACAAATATTCTTTTGTTCTTCACTTACCATGATGCAAACTGCAAGGATTTAACCTTTAAGGGTTAAAGAGTTTAATCAATGTCAATGTCTGATCTTCTGAAGGCGATAAAGCACAGTCTGTCTAGCGATACCCAACAGAACATCACTTTGTCAAGCCACAAAGCGCCCAAAAGCTTGTCAAGTAAGTTACCAGAAACCTCTCTGTGGTTAGAACTCAGCTCCTTCCTGCTTGACCTATTATTTGATATTTGACCACTTGGTTGCAAGACACTTGCTCTTTCTAGCTGAAATGTCACTGGGGCATCTTGTCAGCTCCCCGACATCTCACCCTGACATACAATTTTACTTTTGCGTGCTACAAGGCAGAAAATGCAGGGCAATGGCCTTGTTTTAAATTCTGTCAGCATCAAAGACGGGCGTCACTCTTGGGTCCTACCAACAACAACAAAAAAGGAGTCTATTTTGAAGGTCAGAGCAGCCATTACCTTGAAGTTTTTTCGTTTATACTAAATATATTACCTGCTACACTAGTGTGGGAACTGTCCTTATAAAGTGCCTGAACGGACCACAGCAATCTCCCCAGTGCGACTGCTCTCCTTTCTTATCAGATGCAGACTTGATAAAAGGATGAATTTTCAACGCCTGCAGGGACCAGATTCAGCAGTTAACTTAACTTGTTCAAATGGGCAAGTGGTATCATGTAGCTTTACAAGGAGCAACGTGACCTTCTCACATTGACCAGGAGTGACATTATTGTGCAGGAGGAGAAGCAGTCACATCATTTCTGTTTTGCACAACCTGCTTAAAGTTTGCAACTAAATGCTTGTCTTCAGTCGAGCTGACAAGAGAGAAGAGGGGCTCAGTGAACCATGGCAGGGCTGCCATGAAATGACAGGAATCATTGGCATACATTTCAAATAGCTCTCTCAATCCTATTAAAGTACTGCAGTCCTGCCTTAAAATAGACAAGTATGAAACAACTTTGATAGATAGAGACTAAAATGGCTTATTGATTTTTTTAAGTCTGAGGGAAATTACCCAAAATGTGTCATTCTTTAACATTTAAAAATATGTTACATAAAAATGAGGAACTGTGATAATAAATAAAACTTAGAGAGAAAAAGTGGGTTATTTTGTTATTTGAGACCGAGATACCCATACATATCAAGATATTGTACCATTTTTCAAAAATCCACCCCACCTGTGCTAAAACAAAATTCACCTGAAAAGAAAATCCCCCTTCAAACAATTTTAATTATACTGCTAAGTCCTTGTCCGCCTCTGTGTCATGAAGTCATAGTCCAGGCTGAGCTGGCCCGTTAGCATTAGCAGACGTCACGAGTGGGGAGGACTGAGACGAGGACGCGAGAGAGTGGGGTGTGCTCCGTACAAATGTCCCCTCTAAGAACGTGCGCACTGTATCAAGTTCAGCTTGCAGTGGCAAAAAGCTCCCCACACCGACGACCGAGTCAGTAGGAAGCGCCGCTCTTGAAGGGACGGGGCGATTCGAGTGGTCCCGTGATCCTGTCTGTGACACACAAGAGGAAAAGAAAAAACACTGAATTGAAATTTTCAAACAAAACTGAAAAGAAGGAGGTAGACTAGTAAGCATTATTACAATAGGTGGGACAGGACAGAAACTGCCATCTAAATAGTCTATCTGATAATATATAAATATTTTCAAAGTGACTGCCCCATGCCATAAATCTTTCAGAAAAACAGAAGAAACATTAAAACTTAGAATAAAATTATTGTTTCAAAGCGTCCGTATAATCAGGTGTTTCTTCATCAGCTTCAATTCACTGCAATTTACGGAACTCAATGCTAACAGTATTTACTTAAGTGGACTCATAACATGCGCTGTATAGTGTGGAAGATTAGACTGCTTAGAAAATGAACTGCAGACAGTTATGTTTTTAAGTCTATCAGCCTGATTTAGTAAACTGACCAATACAACACAAGGAAATGTAAGCCAGTCCCAGTGACTTCTAGAAGATGACACTGAGATTTAAGATTCTAGTCAGAGAGCTCTTTGCCATTACATCGAGTAATGCTACCATCCTGTTTTGATAAGGACTGTTCTAAGTACATGTATTTGGAAATGAAGAATCAAAATAAGGGAACACAACATCAAAACAATATCATATATTTTAAAACACTGCTGGTATCTAGACTGAAATATTGCATACACATGGAGTACCTGGAAACAAAATTGGTATTTTCATAAAGCTGTGCATTTAAGCCTTAAGTAACATTGGTAAGTCATAGGACTAACTTAATGTGAGTGAAGTCTTAGCAGTAAAGCAGATAAATATTATTCTATAACATTTAAGCATAACAGAATAACAGTGATCAATTTTATGTTAGCATTTTCCAGGTTCCCAGGAAATAATGTTGTTGAGATATCAAGTTTAGTCACAAGTATCACCACTAAAATCACATTCTGTACAATAGAGTTAAGAAAGCGCCTTTCTGGTAGATTGTCTTAGAGTTTTGATAAGAAAATATAGGCAGTATAAGGGTCTGCTTTATTATATCATGTCATACAAAACTGCTTCTACATGTAGAAACAAGAAAGAAGCTATTGCTGCTGGAGGGAAGTATTAGAAATTCAACTGTTGTATACGTTACCATTTTTGTAGATTTTTTTAAAACTACAACTGGAGGAAAATCAATGTCTGCATCTAACACCTAGTTCAGCAATTTTCTTTGATCTCTGTTCTTTTGATTTCTTGATATTCCACTGCATAGCTGACGGAAATCATCTCTTTTTATGCTGGAACTTTATAAAACACACCGACCATGGCCACTTGCATAGCTCTGTGAAGGACAAAGCTTAGCCATCTCCATAGAAGGGAAAGAGCGTCCTAAAATCATACAACGACCCTGCTTAGCAGCATGGATGAGGTTTCACTTGCAGAGCCTTTTAATAGTGGGCCCAAGCATGTCAGAACCTGACAAGGTGCTCCACTGCCCAGGGCTGGAGACACGAGCCCCTGCGTGTGTACTGCTATCCCGATAGCGCTTCTGCTGTCTTTCCCAGCCATGGATCTGAGCTGGCAGCGGTATAACCCAATCGGCCTTGCTGCAATCAACACTCCCATGCCATCTTCTACCTCCTTATTCTGCCAGACCTGGGGATGAGGGGAAAACGGAAAGAGCAGGAGATATGCAGCCTGACTGTGTTTTTTAGTGACACTTAGTTTAGCAACAGCATTTTTACTGCGATAAAATAATACCATTGGGTGAGGTTTCAAAAGTTTGTTTTATATTTTTTGAATACTGTCAGGTTAGAGCTGTATATATTTATGGAGCATACAAAGTGCATTGTAATTCTTAAATATAATGTGAAATGATTTAACCAAGGTAAATAACATTTATTACCTCAAATATCTGACAATTTTGTGATGAGAATATTTGAGATTTATTCTATTAGTGATGCTAAAATGTATAAGACTATTACTAACTGCATTCACCACACTGTACAATAGATTTAACACAAAACATACTGTTGTAGTCAGGGTTTGCAAGGGAAAGGAATTATTACAGGAAATGTAATTCACAAGATTATTTTATAAATTTACCCACAAAGTCAAATGCAAGAGTGTGGGAGATCTGTGCACACACTAGACCCAAAGAAGCCAGCTGAGGGCCTGGATTCCACAGCAATGTCCTGCTCGAGTCCAACTAAAGACCAACAGCCCACAGCAACATCCAAGTCCCAGTGGAGGTCTAGAGCTCAGGACCATGTCTTACGGGAGTCTGAACCAAGATCTGCACTGGGAAGGCTGAAAGGTCAGTGGTGGAGCTAGAGAGTCTGGGCTAAGAGGGTGAAGGATCTGGGCCAGCAGGCTGAAGGATCTGCCAGGAGCCAGGAAGGGATGCTCAAGGAAACGACCAGAGCTCTTCCCAAAAGAACTGCAGCCATCCTCAGCAACAGCAAGGTCCCGGGCTCGTCTGACGAGAACAGCTGAGCTTCCATCCAGACAGCCGGTGTGACAGACTCTCAGAAGAGCCAAGAGCACACCCATTCCTCCCCAGGTCCTTTTTACGCTGTCGAAACAACTGCCAGGTGGGCCTTCTGCACCTAGTGCCACGCTGACTCAGCTCACCCTCAGGCCATCCTCCGAGGGTTACAAGGTGACCACCAAGCTTCAGTGCACCACACACACTGATTCTTCCCGTATGGCTGAGTCCTTGCACACTTTAATTACCATCTCTGTCCTCTCACACCAGGCCTCTGACAAACACATTTGTTCACTCTGCCTCTATGAGTTAATCTGTTTTAGGCTCCGTCGCGAGAACATGAAACCTTTGTCCAATGCTCGGCATGACCTTCTCCTCCAACTGTGTTAACACTGTGACGAAGGACAGAATTTCTTTGTCTTTTAGGGCTGAAGACCATGCCACTGTGTTCATATTCTTCATTTTCTGTCCGTTCATCCAGTGCGACACACAGTGACAGTCCACTCACCCAGGGACAGAAGGATACCACACCACGGCTTTTGTGTCTAGAAAGCCGCCTCGCAGGTGAGGAGCAGGCATTTCTTCAGTGTGCTGACCCGAGATCCTCTGGGGAGGTACCCCGAAGTGGGCTGCTAGGTCAGAAGGCCACTTCCCTTTTCAGTTTTGTTCTGGTTTTTAAGATGTTTCTGGTTCTTTATACTGTAAGTTCTGTCTAAGAAACATAGGTGTGAAAAGGGAAGGTGTCAAAATCCAACAAGGAAAGTCAGACGTCCTCCAGTGGGTGTTTTCCTCCCAGCGTTCTAGATTACAGAAAGCAGTTGTGCCCCACTGACTCACAGTTAGGCAGGACCTGCTCCATCCTACGTACTCTACTTGAAGTTTCCTTTCTGTTTCTGTGACGTATCGTAACAGGGAAGGCATCTTTCAGGAACGATCTCTACTAACTTCGCAGTTCTCTGTAATGTTCTTCAGTTACTGGCCCTCCACACAGGGATCCCTTGTTTGCCTTCGCTCATCCTTTTGAATATGCCTATTTCCACTGTGTGTGTGAAAGCACCCTTTCATCTAAGTCCTTTCCCCCCATACGTAAATAACCTTGAAATGGTTGCGGAGCATTTCTTTAATATTTTAAGTGAGTCTTAGTTTTCACATATTATCTTCTGACCTTACATTCTTTTTTATTTTTTTTCTGTATTTTAGGGAAGGGTCTACAAGTTGTTCAGGGTCTCACTACTAAATTGGGCTCTTAGTGATCTGCCTGAGAGCCCCAAGAGCTCAGATTACAGGCACATGCCACCACATTCAGTCCCAATTACTGTCTCAGCGCCCCCCCCCCTGGGGGCAGGGCCAGCACAGCAGGGCCAGAGATGGAACCCCTGGCCCCTGTGCCTGCTTGCAGACACTTTAATCTGCTGAGCTATTTGGCTGGCTCTTGCCCTTATATTCTAAACATGAAAAATAACCTAAAACCCATAGTTAGGAAAGGAAGAGAGGAAGACAGAGAAACTTCCTTAAAGACTTTTATCACCAAAAGACATTTACTCCAGTGAATAAACAGGCTCAGTTTTGTGTAAATGAAAACAAATTATCATTTTTGCTATTAGGATAATCTGCTGTTCTGCTAGAAAATAAGTTTTTTTCATGAAATGGGATAAAATCTGATTTTAAGTCACTTAGCATAAAAAGAAGCCAGCAAAAGTTCTGGTGAAATTTTGATTTGAGAAGACAATGTTAAAAACAACAAGTAAATATTATTTTCCTTGTTTTAAATAACATCCAGAAATAGTTCATAATTTTTTAATGTAACAAAGAGAGTAAAAGACAGTTAAATAACTTTTTGTCAGAGACCATTAAAACTTAATATTCACCACCAGATCCTACATTTTAAATCTGTAGAGCTCATGGTCATTTAAACTACTTTTTAAGCTGTTAAGGTGTTCTGGTAGTCTCTTATGTAAATCTAAGTTTAGGCAATTTTTCAAAGAGAAATTAGTTACCTGGAATAAAAGCTCGGTGTCATGCGAATCTTTATGGAAGCACTTTTATTTACTCAATAAGCTGTAAATGATTCTATTTGAACTGTTATAGTCCATCAGCTAAATACATATTCACAATACCAAATGTGTCTACTGAATTTCTCCATTTTAGAAATCTTATGAAATGTAGTAATTGGGTACATCCAACAGCCATTTTTCAGGACTTTAAAATCTTAATTTCTAAGAATGCTCTCCGAACAACGAAAATAAAGCATTAGCCTAATCATAAAATAACCACTCAATAAACTACCTGGGAGTCAAAGCTAGTTTGCCAAGCACGGTTTCTGAAACAGGGACACCAGGCCACTTGTCTCCTGTGGAACATTTATGACCAAGTGAAGTCTTTGAGAATTTAGTATTATGGGAAGGCAGGGAAGATGTGATTTAGGGAGCCTGGGTAACGCTGCGTGGCGATTACGCCGAGCACACAGTGTGCGGTGGAAGGAGCTGCCGACAGGCCGGCAGACAGCCTCTGCTCGCGGTCCTAGCACAGTCCAACGTTCGTTCACACAAGCCTCCTCTCCCC